CATTCAATGTACTATAATTCATATGTACATATTTAAATATATAATTATTTATAGTCTAGTTGAAGTGTAGCAAGATATTGACAACTACCTAAGCATGGAGTGCATAGAGTGTACCATCTTGATGTTACTTCACTATTATCTACAGCTGCAACACTTCCTGGTAATTGCAAGCTCAATCTATTGTGTATCTCTGCTCAGAGGACAGCAGAAAGGTCTGTGTGTAGAAACATGCTTATTTACACAGTTAAACGGGATAAAACAAAAGATACATCCTGACTTTACTTTGGACCACTACAGGAGCTTTTGACGTCAGTCAAATCTACCCATGCAAATAAAACTGAACTTTTGTGTTTCTACTGTATATAAATGTTATTAGGCATTTAGCTGTGCATGAATATTGCAAAAAACTAGTTGTTTGTCTTGGGTTAAAAACATTTATTGCAGGAAACAGTATTAGAGAATAATGAAATACAGAAGGTAGAGGGATAGACAAAAGAGAACCTTTAGAGAATGGGGCAGAGAAAGAGGAGGGGGCAGACCGGTGGGGGATGGACTTTTGACCCTGGACTGTCCATGACTGTCCAGATGATGTTCAGAGGGAGCAAACCGGCCTACAGTGAAGGACTCCCAGTCCCTGTGCTATACTGTCACATTGTTCTAAAATTGTTTTTAAAAACAGCTTGAGTTGATCTGACAAAAAGGAAGTTCTACCACAAATTTTATCTGCTGACAGGAAAGTTTCAGAAGGTCGTCTTGTAGTCAAATTCGGTCACTAAGCTTATCTCTACCTCTATGAGGGTTTGAAACTAGAGCTCTCTCACTGTTAATATATCTGTTTTTACATACGGTGAGACATTTACTTTCTTTATTTGAATTTGTTTATAAAATTGAAGGTTTCTTGCCCAGACATTGCTAAATGAGTCCTTTAGCAATGTCAGTTATCAAAAGTAGGGGGTTTACAAATACAGCAGTAATGATATAGCAAATGTCGAGAAAAATCCTAAAGCTGCATTATATTTAGAATTATGCCAGAGATGTGGTTAATCAAACAATATAGAACAAGGGGAGAGGTGCAAGATGGAAATCCTTGACTGAACTGCGTTTCCCAAAGGTCTATGAAGAATGATCAGCACCCCTGTTCAGGTGGGGGGGAAACGACTGGTACAAAGTCCGCGGTTGGGATCCTGCTGTCCTGTATCTCACTGAGGTTTCACAGGTCTCCTGGACATTGCTACTCTTGGCCACATCTGAACAGGGATACAGCTAATGAGAATAAAACAAAAGAAGACTTGTTTTAATCGTGTTAATGGAGACCAGGCGAATTTAGGTAGGTCAGTTCCAGAGCTGATGTTTCCTGGTCTGAAAGTGTGAGCTCACAGGCCATCAGGACATTCACGCTTGGAGTCAGAACGCAGTGCCATGATCTGGACAGTGGAAATACATGAAGATGGCAGAATGTGTTAAGGTAACTGGGCAGAAGACGTGCAGCCATCATTCTTTGTCTCTCACTGGAAAGGTGATCCTGAAGTGCAATTTCTTGTCTCTTTAGAAAGAGATCATACGGTCCTTTTAAGAGCCTTCTGACATACACAATTGCTCTGTAAACCTTCACAGTCATGCTGTATGCAGCAAAAAAACATCCAGCTGGAGGACCTTTAGCAATCAGCTGTTATCTAAGATAAGTCCATTAAGCAAACCAATCAGACGGCTTTTAATAGAGCGCTATTATTATATTGTCAAAAGGTGTACAACAAGGTCTTGGCAAGCGCTTTCTGCTGGTGTGGAAATGGGAACTGTGTTTGAGCTGTTACTGTGAACAGTTTTATATGTTAAAAAAATCCTTTAGAACTGTCTACCTGATTGAGAAACAGATGCTGCTGAGAGCTCCTCAATCTGAAAGAGGCAACATTTTAAAGTAAGTTCTGGCTGGAATATTCTGTGACTGACTTATATTATACAAGTGAAATCAAAATGTCTTCTGCTATTGGATTCACTTTCTCTAACGTCCTCCTGGAGGAGATTACAATGTCTGTATTAAAACAGACCAAGGACTTGAAAAAAAAAACCTCTATTTGATTTTGTTGCTGAAACCGGTACCGATAAATCTGTTCTGGAAGGTGTGGGACTACAAGCAGAACATCTAGGCAGAGGACTTCCCCTCTAAACAGAGGAAAGTGAAGAACCGTGCAGAGGCTATCCCACAGAGCTGCCTCCACTGCCCCTGGCCCCTGCTGTCCTGCAGTCTGGCTTCGAGCCCTGGTGACTCAGTGTGGCTGCAGAACTGAACACCCCCCTCTCCTTCACTATTAATTCTCCTCCATACTGAGTCTGCTAAACATCACACCTACCTGTGCCTCAAACAGATAAGTAAGGGATAAATGAGATGCACATACCAACAACAGTGAGCAAGATGATCTGTCGTTATCTCTTTTCTTACAACGTTTATGCAGATTTTGTTCTTCAAATTTAACGGTTCCAGAGAGAGGCTTAAGTAAATTAGCCTATTATTTTCTTCCTTCCTCTGAAACAGGTAGATATCTTTCATCAATTGGCACAGCAATTACTCATGAGATAAATAAATATTCCAATTGTGCCCTTCTTCATTTTACATATATTAATGTTCTAAAAGGAAAATGTTATGTCAGGTGTATGTACACTTTATTACATAGAAATGCAGTATGCAGTAGAATGCATTGACATACACATGAAGGCACAGCAAAATAAAAAAAAACAGCATTAGTATTTTTACACGCATAACATTGTAAAAAGGAGATAGTAAATATTGAGCATCAAAAGAAATGTGTTGCATTTATCATTTGTAAATGCAAGAAATACATAACAGTTATTGGGAAAAGTACTATCTTTTGCAGTAGCTCACTGATAGCGAGAAGTGACTTAGTTCTTCAATAAATCAAAGTTGCTCAAGTGTATCATAGTAGGTCATGTGTGGTCTTACGAATTATACCAAAAGTATTTAATCCATATATCCAAAATCGACATACTTTATTTAATGCAACCAGATTGATAGGTTTCTCTTGATTTTCTGCATATGCCATAGAGAGGCAGTTTATTCACAGATCAATTTAAACAGTTAATTATAAGTTAATTTAGAGTTCTTTCACTTGTTCATTTACAATAATTCTAGTGGGTAATGTCTTGTTCAAAAGGAGACCTAAATTAACATTGTTTCCCTAGGATATAATCCATATTTTAAAACTGCTTTAAAACACAAAAAGGAAATCATATTCTAAACTTTTCTAAACAGGAAATACTGATAACACTACAGAGCTTTTCTGTTGACAACATCTGTCTTCATTCTTCATCTTTGACTGGGTTAAACCATGACTATAAAAACAAAGAGCAAAGGCAAAGGGACTACAAAAAAAGCCAGAGAAACAACCCTGACCACTGCTAAACAAATCTGATAGTCCTTGATTCTCAAACAACGTCAGTGCAGAGAACCACCTGCGAATATAGCCTCACAATGAAGGGCATAATAAGCCTGGTGTTTGTATAGCTTTCACAGACTGTACAGTGTGTGCTGATCATATAATGCCACAGTTTGGAAGAAAAATCAAATAGACAAGAACCATGCTTACAATCTCTACAGATAAAGACAAATGTGGAATTTAGTAAGTGGCAGGATAATTACTGTGAGACTAAAGATTGACAACAGACACAAGGACAGAGTGAGAGAGGAACAGCACTATATACAATGCTGTCCCTCTTTCATAGTATCATGAGGCACCACATTACCTAACTGAACCAGACATACATACAGTATAATATTTCTGTCCACACTTGAGATTCTTCACCTTGCATTCGCCTGGGTGATTGAATATTAAATTAATGCATTCTTAACATCCATCATCATCGAGTTCAGGATCAATCATTGTGCTGTAAATAAGTGGCTGCCACGTGGCATAATAACATTATTTTGATGTAATGAATAGGAAACATTTTTTTTCATGTTATAGGAAAATAGGAAACAGTTTTTTTTTCGACTAGGGAAGAGGAAAAACATTTAGGTTGCAAGGACTGCTTGTTGATAGGGAAGATAGCTGGTCCCGTAGCTACCAGATACTTCGAGAAACGTGCACATCTTTCATGTTAATCCGCTTCAGTATACAGGCAAAGTAAAAAAAACCATTGTGTCTCAAAGAGGCTGGCAACTGGCAATTACTGTATTTAGGTCAGGGAAAGCCAGGCTGGTCACTGATTCTGACATATGAAACCAAGTAGTTCGCATTCGTCTAAATATAAATCATTTCAGTTACGAGCAGTTGGGGGGGATGCTTTGAGGATCTCAAACTTGGAGTTACCCATCCACGATTTAGGTCACCCGGTAAATTTAAAAATGTGTTGCGGTTACTAATGGAATATATTAGTCGGATCAGAGAGCCGTCGTCACGTAAGGAATTAGTACAGCCCTACTGTTGAAACTTTTTAAAATAGTTTTCACATAAAGAGAACAGTTATTTTGTGATTACCGTCACCGGTGCTGCAGAAGTAGCAGCACTACTTAAAAAATAAATACAATTTTACAAAGATTGTACAACGGCTCCCTCTTGCGGTACAAATGTGAAGTGATTGTCTAGCCAAAAGAAGATTCAATATCACATTTACTTCCTTGGATGAGTGTCATTGTCTCACAGGACGGTTACAAAATGAAATATTGAATGCCACTGCAACTAAAGAGATCCTGAGGATCTCGCAAAACTCTATGCATATGAGACACATAGCAGAAAAACCTGGAAGAATATGGAAACGCAGCAAATTGCTGATTAATTTCCATTACAACCATAATATAGAAATGATGTGTGGCAATGTCATGTTTCAGGAAAAAAAAACATTTTACTACGACAAACCTCTGACTGTTAGACCTCCAATCCGTAGGGGGAACTGGAGAACATCCTCGTCGAAATCTTCGTCTCGTTTCCCAATGCACTTTGTGCTTTAGCAGTGAGATCATTCAGGAAGCTGGAGTTTCGAGCGTGACGTCATCCCCAAGCGCCGCTGTGGTTTCGCCTGCTGGGTTGCATTGAGATGGGCAGAACTTGTCAACTCTGATTCGACCAGCATTTAAATTGAATTAACTGACAAACAGACAAAAACCAAGAGCTGGATGACCAGAATGAGATGTCGAGGTAAGAGCTGAGCCAAACTCTTTGACTAGAAATCTGTAGAAAAGAAGTCAAAAGATTGTGAGCGAGAAAGACAAACAGAACTAAAAAACTACCGTGGATTGTTTTGCTCGGCCTTTCTATGTGATCGCCACCGCACTGTTTTAAGAAGTTTTTCATGGTACATGTTGTTCGGGCTAAGAAAATAATGTAAGCATTAAAAAAAATAACAGTTCCTTGACATATCAGTGTGCGGGAAAAATGAACGCTGTCAATTGTAACAGCGAGAACCAAGTCAACATTATTGTTGCGGTTTAGCGACCATGTTAACTAATTTTAAATTGTATTTTTAAATAATGAAAAGTGTATCTGCTTTTATCGTTGTTATTAGTAATAGACTAGGTACAATAACAGTAAAAACAGTTGTAGTGGTGGAACAGATGCATTGGCAAATTGATGAGTGTGTAATAGGGATGTCTGTGTGACTTCACTCAGGCTAGTTCATCGGGATTTGCACAAGTCTGTCTTTACCGGTAGTACTAGTGGTAGTAAAATGTGCGGTGAAGAGTCCGCCCTCTCCTTTATGCGTCTCGTTTCTGACCCTCATGCTATTCGTCATCGCCCGAGTCTCTGTCTGGGGAAGAACGATTCACAACATTTTTCTGTTAGTCATCAGAATCGGCAGCGAGCTCTCTGTCTTAGCGGTTTACGTGGGTGTAATCAGATTTCTAGTGAACAGTGAATATCACTTCATTCACTACTGTCAAAATCTCAGTGCAGCAGTGGGAAGATATGACTGGAAATCACTGATGAGCCCAAAACAAACGTATGGAAAAGCAGCTCGTGGCGAGCTTCTTGCTTCTGTGAATGTGCAAGAAATGTGACATAACTGAGTGAGTTTTAAGTCATTTTAGGTGCCAAGTAACTTTTTAAATAGTATTTGTCAGCGTGTCATGTTTGTAATTCTTTTGTGCAGTTAAAGCACAAAAGACTGCACAAAAAAAGTTTTTTGCACTAAGAAGTCCCTTACTGTTTAACGTCTGCACTACGTCATTTGTTAAAATCGGGATTTATAGATTATTTTTTTCAAATGGAATTGTAGGAAAGGTAAAATCCGTTAATTAATAATAAAATGTGCTCTGTGTCTACTCCTGACAACTTTTATAGGCTAACTGTTTAATGTATATAATAGTGGGAACACAAATTCAACATTTTAGTTCCTGTTTATCCCATAGGGTGAGAAAGTCACCTGGTGACATATAATAATTAAAGACAAACACCTCAAGAGCATGCTGGAATTTTTATCCTTGTATATACTGTATATACTGTCACTCCTTCCAGAAACAGTAGAAACAATATGCATTTCACATCGCTTAATATTCTGAAGTGATCCTTGAACATTTCTACAGTCAGCAGAAATGAATGTTATTGACCCACATACTGTACCTTGTTAATAGCTTTTTGAATATGGGTCTGTTTTAATGGCTGTGACAAATGGAGGAGAAATGGTACACAGGGACAATTCTGAAGTCTGAAAAGGACCAGTAAGTGAATTTAGAAAAACAATCAAAAAGGTTGTGAACTTGAATTATTTTGTGAGGGTTCGTCTTTTCTCTGCGCAATCTTACAGTCTGTCTGTTTGTGCGTACTGGTGTTCCACAAGGATGTATACTTTCTCCATTACTCTTTCTTGTACACCAATGGCAATACCTCAAGTGACTCTTCCATCAAACTAATTAAGCAGCGGAAGACACCATCCTTGTAGGTCTATTCACAAATGAATATCATAATATGATATTGGTATCATAGAGTAGTAACAAGCACACAAAGCTTAATACCTTCCATACAGTGAAAATGCTGGTTGCTTACTGGAAACATTCTCCAAAACCTCACTCCCTAGTAATCAATGATGTGGCTATGGGTGTGGTAGAGTTCTTTAGTTTTGGGGTATAATGATGTCTAATAACCTTACATGGGACACAGATATCTCCAGTATCACCAAGAAAGCACTGCAGCAAATGTACTTTTTGCCCAAACTGAAAAATTGGGGTCTCTCAGCCAATTGTAATACAGGTTTACAGAGCCATTATTGAGAGCATTCTGACTGCCTCTGTAGCTGTTTGGTTTGGCAATGCGTCTGTCCACTCATGAGGGGAACTGCAGACACACTGCGGCCTTTGGCTGTCAGATGCTCTCTACTGCAGATTCTAGAGCAAGAAAGCGGGCAGGAAAGACTGCTGATGACCCCACCCAGGTTAACCCCTGTTTCAGAAACGTCCCTCAGGAAGACACTACTAGTCTATTAAAACAAGAAACACCTGGTATTTGAACAGATTCTTTCATGGGGCTGCCTTTCTGGTTCACCAAAATTCCTAGTTGTGTGTGCTTTTAGTCATGTCTGTTGTCTTGTTTGTGTATGGCATACAGTATGTAGCATGTTTTTGATGCTTCAAGAACACCAGAGGAAATTCCTTGTAAACTAAATTTACTTGGCGAATAAAAGTGATTCTGATTCAGATGTGTATTCGTGGCCGCAATCACTGCTCCATTGTATGTTACTATTTCTGTATATGTTCTATATTTTCTGTTCATTTTTTTGAACAACTGATGTGATGTACTAAGGTTTGTTTCAAAAAGATTGAATTACCTGTTGATGTTGATTTAAAACTAAAAGCTTTTTTAAAAGCAAAGGTTGCTCCTTATGTCTGCATCATCCTGTCTAATCGTGGCTGTAGCCACTCTCCTCCAGCATCTTTCAGAGGAAACATCTAGGATAATAAGTAGGTATTATTACTTGACAACGTATTGCACACATTTGTCAAAGTCAGAGAGATTTGCACTGAATGAAATCATGATCATTTTCTGACTGTGGAGTCCTGAAAGGTCATTAGTTTGACTAATGTTCTTTCCATTACAATCTTAACCAGCCTTCCTGTAGGCCTTAAGAGTAGTATAGACTGTGAAGTGTCTTACAATCCTCTCTGTTGATTTTAATCTTATTTCTGTACTTTGGCGTGATAATTTCATAGTCCTACTTTATACTGAATAGGAAAGTAACAGAAGAGGCTATTCGGTTCATTGGCTTCTGATTTGCTGACGGATACGTACTACGTCTTAGTTTCCTTCAATCACTGTGTCCCTGTTTCCTGAGGCAGTATCTCAGCTTCCTGTCGAAACTTTTGAATTATTTTTAAATGTGATACGTGAAACATTTGGTGACAATCGGTGAGAAAATCTGTATTCTACTAGCAGTCAATTTAAAGTTCTGAAGATGTGATTATCTGAAGAATGGATGAAGCATCATGAGACAAGAAAATATTTTTAAAAAGTGGTCCTGACATTTGAGTTGTTGTTTTTTTTTACCTTTGCTAAGATTTAGTAGTCTGCTTTAGAGTGCAGCTTGAAAAAAGAATTTCAAATCTTCAAAGTGTGGTTAAGGATTTTAGGTCAGAGGCCTTGTCAGGGGCTTCCTGTCCTATATTCAATTGGGCCCTTTTGACCATTTTGGTATTGCAGCAAATAGATGGTGGATCTAGATCTTTTCAGTGCTTTCATGGCTTTCACCATAGGTTTTAGCAAAATTCATATATGTGTTATTCTCCTGATTACTAAATAGTAACAATCTAAAACCCTAAGCTCTGATGCAATCGTGTAAAATCCATTGAGCACTGTAATCATTCTTTTTGCTGTGGAGCTGGTTTATTCATACCTCTGTGATATAAAATAATATGTCAATCACCACTCTCTCACCTTTCTTTTAATAATATAATTGTTTCTGAAGTCCTGCTTAAATCTGTAAGGTCAAGGAACCATTTCGTGCCACTTCAGATCATCAAGAATATGATATTGATATTATATTGAGCTAAATGCCTAAAGACTTTTCATGTCTCTGCATATAAAACGGAGGAACTTATTTGTTAATAATTATTTTGTTTCCACAGGGATGGGTTTCAGGTTATGATTTTTATCATCACTCTTTGTTGCAACAGCGGCATTAAAAGGGCCGGATTGTTACGTTCGTACTTGCGGGTGTGTTTGAAAGGTTTTTTCCCCTTCTCGGCCTCTCCGCAGGTGAGGTGAGCTCTGTCAGCAGGAGGACCCCAGAGCTGTACCCCGAGGCCCCAGCGGCCCCGCTGACACTCGCCACTCCCCGCTCTCAGCAGTGAGACAGCGCTGACCCGCAGCGGCCTCAGCCGGGACAGCCATGAAGCCTGCCCACGAGCGCAACCAGGAGTCCCTGCCCCCGAAGAAACGGGACCTCCCACTCAGCAGCGGCAGCGGGGCTGGCGGGGGCGCGGGCGCGGGGGGGGGAGTGCTGGGTGTAGGGGGAGGTGGAGGAGGAGGCGGCGGCGGGGGGGAAGAGTCGACCTCCACGCGTAGCTCAGGCTCCGCAGGAAGTGACGCCCCAGGAAGCGGAGGTGCAGGGGAATGGATGAGAATCCAGCCGGGGGTGCATTATAGCGTGGAGAACTCGGATGGCATAGGTGTTCCAATAGACCAGTATGGCATGCTGTATAAAGTTGCCCTCCCTTCTGGTACCTACTCACCTACCAGCCTGCACCCTGTGCTGAGTCACCTCTCTCCTGCCTACACCGTCCCCTCCCCACTCCTGCAGCACCCGGGAATCCCCTACCCCCCGCTGGGCTACGCCCAGATCCCACACTCCTCCCTGCAGTTCGTAGGCCCCCCTTACGCTGTCCCATATGCAGTCCCACCTGGCTTTGTCCCCAGTCCCTTGATATCGCCCCAGCCGGCCATCCCGCAGTCCCACCACGTCTCCCACCTGGTGCCCTACCAATCCGTCATCCAGGAGGGGGTGGTCTCCCCTCCTCCCCAGCCCCAGACGGCCACCCATGCTTTCACCAAAGTGGCCCCGGCCGCCGGCGTCCCCGTCGTGCTGTCCTCCGAGCAGGCGGCTCAGCAGCTCCAGCACCAGCAGCACCTGGGAGCGGTAGGCGGGCTGCCCGCGGCCGAGGTCAGCCCCAGGGGGGTGCCCGTCTTCTACCATCACCCGGTCCGGGCGCCCCCGGCTCCTGCGGCGGCCTACAGAGACTCCGCCGACAAGGAGGTGAACGGGGGGGACGAGGAGCAGGGCGGCCGGGAGCTGCTCCAGGAGCCTGTCTATTCCTCCAGGAACATGCGGGTGCTGCACGTGGTGTCCACCTCGGCTTTGGCGGGCAGCCCGGAGCAGAGGCCACCTGTGGGTGCACAGCAGGAGGAGATGAGCTCGCCTGGCCACCGGAGCACCCCGGACACCGACCTCGAGGTAGGAGCTGCAGGGACACACTGACGTCTTCGCCACTCGTCTGTTCTAGTGTTTGAAGTGTGGCTTGAAATTCCTCCAGGAATAGGTGTGCTAGCCACATGCTGATTTCACTATAGTTAAATAATTAAATTCAACTATAATTACACAATTTTGAGAAACATTATTTGTGCAGTTCTACACTAATGTTGCACTACTCCTTTGTAATGGAAGCATTTCAGTCGGAACAGGGTGATACCTGAATTTCACCCATGCTCAATACCTTCCTTCATTGAAAATGATTTGTCCATCTCTGCCAGGAGGCTTTATCTTCGATGTGCATGTATTTCACTTATGTAATGGTTAATCTGATGTCTTTACCACTTTTTTCTTAATTTGAGCTTTTTTGGCTTTTGGTCTCTAGAAATTAGATCTAGGAATCAGGTATACAAAATTTCCGATTCTTATTCTTTCCTGGACATTAAAGTACCTGAAAAAGAAAATTCGAAAATACTTCAAAATGTGTTCTCTTAAGAAACACTTCGATGCCGTGAATCAGCTTGTGGGAATTTAATTGCGTTGTTACAACAGTGCTGTTGAGCATGACGGCTGTAGAGCTACAGTAAGGGATCTTGCTAAACGTTTTGATTTGACAAAAAGATGTCCTGTTCCCTTGCTCATTGTGGCATTCTGGGTTACATGTTAAATGACCTCTCTGAAATGACTCACGATTTTGTCACATTCCTGTTGTGTATGTTTAAGCAATCGTTCCTCAAACAGACGTAGTTTGCAAGGTACAGAGATTGCTGTCCGGTCTGTGGTTAACCCAAAGCTCAGAGGAAACTACATTTTTCCTTTCTTTGCCAGTAGATACTCATTCATATATTGCATGTTTCAACACTATAAAGCTGAATGCAGTTACCCTCTTCTATAATTTAAATCTGTTATGTTCTTAACTAGTCAAAAATATTATTAGTTGATTGAAAATGATATTTTCATTAGGGCCCTTAAATTACAAAGCATGAGGTTTAATTATTGCCAGGCTAGTTACTTTCCTTTAACATTGCTTTGAAGTGCTACATTTCGTGATTATATGTTAATTAAATGTGGCTTACATGAACTGAATGTTTCAGAAGATTACGAATCAGAAGTGTGGAATGTCTGCTCTAGTCCTGATTTCTTTTCCCCATCTTAAGGTGCAGCAGGTGGTGGGGCGTTTGGCGTCTCCCAATCAAGGTGTGGCAGGGAGTCGAAAAGAGGTCTCTTTTGGGCCCCTGAACCTGTCTCAGGGGTCGCACCGTGTCAGGGAGGTCCTGCCAGCTGCCCGGGGAGGGGGCAGCACCAGAGAAGAGAATGCTGCGCCAACCAGGACTACTTACAGTGGGCATACAAGTGACGGCAGAGCACAGTCCCGACATCACCAGTATGGGCAGCCAGCACAACACGCTGTAATCCTGGCCAATGGACAACCTGTACTAGTGCCTCTGGACCACCATCAGCAGATACAGCAGCAGCACCACCACCACCACCACCACCCAGGCTTGCCTAATGACAATGTAATCTCTGCAACTACGGGGTCGCCGCTTGCCCTCCCAAAAGCTTCCGAGCCTCCAGCCAGAACGTGCCTCCAGGAGAGAGGGGCTGTGGAGATTTCAACATCGGCCCAACAGCAGCAGCAGGCCGTGGCGGTTCAGGCTCCGGCTCCTTCTCTTCCTCCTCTGGCTGCTCCTCCTGCCTCCACACCTGCTCCTGCTCCTTCCCACCCCTCCCACTTCATGAAGGGCGCCATCATCCAGCTGGCCACGGGAGAGCTGAAGCGCGTGGAGGACCTGCAGACCCAAGACTTTGTGCGTAGTGCGGAGGTGAGTGGGGGCCTCAAAATAGACTCTAGCATGGTGGTGGACATCCGTAAGAGCCAGCAGCGGCCGGGCCTGGTGTCTCTGCACTTCACGGTCGGGGAGCAGCAGAGCAAGGTGACAATTGATGTCCCTCCGGAGCACCCCTTTTTTGTTTTTGGCCAGGGCTGGTCCTCCTGTAGCCCTGACCGAACAGTGCAGCTCTATGGGCTTCCCTGCCATCGACTGCAAGTGGGGGATGTCTGTGTTTCCTTAACCTTGCAGCAACAACAACAGCAGCAGCAGCAGCAGCAGCAGCAGCAGGCACAGGCCAGGACATCCACCACTGCTAATGCCAGTTCTAACGCTGGTGCTGTATTGCAATCCATGGGGCCCCCTGCACCCCAACACGCGAGGGCCCCCATTCAGTTACGAGCAGACAGGACTCACCGGGAGCGGGAGGAGGCGGAGGAGCCCATGCAGATAGGAGCTGTAGGGCTGGGAGAGACGGCATCCCAGACAGACAGGACGTCGGCAGAGCAGGTCAGGAGCCAGAGCAGCTATTATTTGCACACGGAGAGCCACCCCCGGTCCGGAGGGCTGGCTTCAACGACGAGCGCCGCTCAGAGGCGCTGGTCAGCGCCCGGCTTCCAAAGATATGGGATCAAGAGCGAGGAAGTGGCCAGCTCTTCTTCCCCCTCCTCCTCCTCCTCCTCCAGCTCCTCACGGCCTTCCTTCATCCCCCAGGAGGTCAAGTTGTCCATCGAAGGGCGCTCTAATGCGGGGAAGTAGCAGCAACAGCCAGAGATTGTCACAAGAGTGAGTGAATGGGAGAAAGAGAGTGAGTGAGAGAGAAAAGCCTCAGAATGTTTGAGAATTTGCACACTCAAGAAGATTACAACCCTTTTACTCTAACCCCTTGGTTTCCAATCTTGGTTGCCTAAGGTCACTCTGAGTCCAGGTGAGTCTGGTGCTTTGAATACTTGCGCATGAACAGTTAACACATCTGGTATTTTGAAGATGCACAGTTAATTAGCAGGGAAGACATAAAGCAGTGGTGTTCATTTGTGGTTACCAGTTCAGTACAGAGCTGTTCCGAACAGCGCTGGACTGGATTGGCTCCTCACCAGATGTGGAAAGATGTAGATCTCAGCTGTGATTACAGTGGGAGCAGTACAGCTATAAAATACCTACCAAAGCCTATTCAGCTTACATTCCTTCCAATAGGTGGGACCCAATCATTTTGTGAGTAATGAGAATTAACCATTGTTCTACCAAATTCGAATCTGTGAATCCCAGACTGGTGGAAGGATGAGGTTGTCTCAATCTGAAAGCGGAACACCCAGACTAGTAGTGGTCGTATGTACACTGAAGCTTCATTTAGTATAATAACATTTAACATTTATTGAAACATTAAACAGTGTAAGTGAACTAAAGTCCTGTAACTAGTTGCTTTGAATTGGTTTCTTTTTCATACTAGTTGATTCCATGAACTGTTTTTTTTTTCTGCTTTGATGATGCAGTTACCAAATTTCTGCACTTACAGTACCTCCTGGCAAGACCAAGACGAGACTCCTACAGCTACTTGCTGTGTCTTATACTTGCTTCCGTTCTTGCTTCATGGTCTTGTTTCAGATGGAGTATAAATGTATAATGTCTGCAATGCAACTGAAGAGACGGCTGCCCTCTAAATAACAGTCCAGGGATTTTGCTGTCTGTCGTCTGTGCCCTCCCCCTCCCACAATTGTCTGAACCTGTTTACGGTGTCACAGCCTCTGCCTTGAGTTACTCTTCTTTATCCCAGGTAGCATTTCATTGATATTTTTTGACACTCTGCACAGAGCCCTGTTGTAACAGAGAGTTTTCTTTGGCGTTTTGATGTTATGAGCCTGGGACATCTGTCCTGAATAAGAACAGAAGCTCCTTTATACCTCAACATCCCTTAATGGAATATTCCTCTGTCTGGCTACTGACTGTTTTCTGTCTGGTGACTTTCATTAACGGATGCAGGGTCTGCTCATCACCTAGGTTATCTCTTTTAAGAAGCAGCAAGAGTGGAGCAAAATTATGCTGCAGGCAATATGATATTCCTGCCATTCTCCATACAAAGGTTTGACGTGTAGCCCTCCAAAGATTGACGTTCCTTCCTCTGACTGCTGTGGTTGGGCTTGGCTGATTGGAAACCATGGGGAAAATGGAAAAAAGAACATCGCTGAAAACTCCAGCACATTTCTGGATGCCCAGTTACTGTTATCAAAGCAATAGTGATATCCTAAAAGTGGGTCAGTTTTCCTGAGCTTTTGATGCTTTTGTTTGTGTTTTTGTTTCGACAGTTGGTGTAAATGGATTGTCATTTCCATAAAAAGCTCAGCAAACATGGCCTACGACCTCTCTGTCGTTCAAAGATGATGCGCAATTATTTTGCCATTTGTTTGGATTATACCCGTCTTTTTATTTAGATTTGTATATATTTTTACATTTTGAGGATGTTTAGTTGGATGCGAAATACAAAACCGGTTTCCCTCATTAATATGTGGAAAATCCCTTGGTCTTTGTCATTCTGTATCTCTAAGCATGTTGTTTTAATTATTCATCAGTCCAATTATTCATCAGTCTTCACTTACCAAATGACATTTGATGAATATCTTGCAAAATCTGTGGCTTTAAGTGATCCATTTAAGCAACTTTTAAAAAAGACTGCATTAAGGGATTTGATTCTGAATAAAATAGTGGAAATTCAGATATATGTACTTGTTTTATCACTTACAATCTGAAGTAAATAACGTTTCTTACATTGGGAAGGACAGAATTAAGTTCCTTTCACAGAAACGTATTGACAATGATCGTTTTCCTGAAATTGCCAGGATATCTAGAAATCAAATGGGTTCTGCTTAGGGGAACTTAACATATGCATGTTTATTAAATTAAAAAAAATCTTTGAATATTTGTTTAAGAAACTGACTTGCGTGGTTGAAACTGTTTACAGATCTGCGACAGAAATGCTATACTTTCCCTCGTGTGGAGATTTTTGTCAATGATGTATTCAACCCGCCATAAAGAAAAAGTGCAATTAGATAGGGTGTAACCATGAGGATATTTGAGCATTTTTGTATTCCCAAAACAAATGGTCCCCACATTCCCATCAGCTAAAAGTTCTGTCTCGAAGCCTATTCCTGTTTGTTATGTTTGTCTCATTGCTAAATGATATCTGTTTTTTTTCTCTTCCTAATATGATATTATTTCATCATAAAACTGTATTGCCGAATGTCTTATTCAGCCCCACCATTGAAGCCACTAGACTTCATGAGAGTGTTGTATAACCCCACCACAACCACCACCAAAAATATTTAACTTCAGAAACAGTTTTATTTAGAAATAGTATGTGTACTTCGTTTCTTGAACTGTATTGGCATTGCTTCTGCCTGTCGTACAAGACATTTAAAGGAAAAAAAATAGATCAATGTTCCATCTTTAAAATGTCTTTTTATTTATTGATTTTTAATAGAACTTCTTTCATTCCAAAAGCTGTGTACAATTGTATGTATATAAGATTTGATTGGGTTTTAAGGCTGGGAAGAAGTATGCTTAGACTTAACACTTCATACATTCTGAATAACTTCTAAATTGCTTTATATAGCCATCTGTGCATTTATTTTCTGCCTGGTAACGTATACCCATGTAGTGATTTCTAGTTTCAAAAAAAGAATGAATATTTATTTATAAAAAATAATCATTTGTGACTACTTAAGACTAAACCTCCTGGGAACTCCTGTGACCTCCATTATGATGTGTTCTTTATCAAAGCCAGCTCCAAACTAAATTGGACAGCAAGCGTCTCATTCTTGTACAGAGGACAATCTGGAATTTCTCTGTGTATGTGTGGCTAAGAAGCCTGGTCTTTCACACATGAGCACGTATCTCACTTACTGTGGCGGTTATCCTTGACAAGCACATATCTGTTGTGGCGATACAGTTAGTAACTAACCATTTCTTGTTTATATTCTGTTACTACTTAGCCTGTACTTTGTATGATAAATCATTTAGGGAGGTTTTGTGTGGCATACCCATGAAATCCATGTAAAATGTGTTCATGAAATTGGTAGCTTTACTGCACCAGAAGGTTTATTTTAAAAGAATCAGAAAATCCCATTACCATATAGAGCATCTTTCCTTAGAATTGTAACCTCAGTGGTTATTGTTAGTAGACAAGATTTTATATTCCAGCAGGGTGGGTGGAAATTAATTAAGGTTACCTCATTTTAAGCTGTCTATGGTAATTTGTAACTAAAATGTATAGTATTTGGAAGGTGTTATTAATCAACTATGTATGATTTGTTTTTTTAAAGAATGCTATATTCTTGAATTGAGTAGGGATTGGAATTGAGTAGTAAACAGATTTTAAATGTAAAGAGAGACGTTTCACTTACTGTTTAAATATATATTTTTAATTCCATAATATCATCAAGTATCTGCTAAGCAATACACTTAGTGTCATACCCTGCACTGTACTGAAGAAAATCACTAGCTTAGGTGTAGCTTGTTATATACAGAAGAATACCCAAAGTGTTGTGTACTTCAGGTTTCTATATGTACCTATAGATATGTAAAGAGCTATACTCGAAATTACTTGTTATAGTTTTTGTACAGTGATGTCACTGTTGAGTATCATGATCATTGCATGCCCATATAAGGGGAATTATATTTAAAGAGCATTGATGAGCTCAATCGTGTTTTAAATGCGTTGTTACAGTTGTGTTAAGTGCATCTCTGATATTCTTGCATTTCCCAAATATATTTCTTTAGAATGCCAGTGCTTTTATTAGATGTTTTACCTCTACAATACCACTTTCTTATTGCTGACATCACAACAAATATAGCACAGCAGTCTTCTGTTTTCAGTTTTGAAAGTGATTAGACAGTTTTCAGATGTGCTGTAAGTTCTGTAAATTATGTTGTGTTATGCAGTGCTCTCGTTCACCCGGTCCTCTTAAAGGAGCACTGCAGTAATGGCGAAAGGGACTGTCTTAGGTTATTGCTATTCTTCAACTTGCTTTTGAGGGACTAATGCTTTTTACGTAGGCAAGTGAATGAAAAAAACAATTTCGTTCTTTCTTTTTCACCATGGACAATAGTTCCTTGCAGATTCTTCTTGTTACTGTGGTGTTACTTCGTTTCTAGAACCTGCCCCTGTCTATAGTTCCCTGATATTCCATTGTTATGTTTCTTATCTTATCTGTGCCACCTCTGGTCTTCTATAGTGCTGGTTACCTCTTTAAAAATGTCCCTTGCTTTGAAAAATAGAATGATCTGATGATCTTCATAAGCAAATATATATTCCTACATATGGCAATATTGTTAAAATAACATAATTATATGTAAAGATGAGAAATTCTCACTTCCTTGGGATAGAAACCTGACTTTATTCAACCTGAATTTGCCATTAAAATACAAGATACAAAATAAAATATGTATCTCTACTTGAAACCGAAGTAAAAGGACTTTTTGTTTGCCTTTGTAAACTTGTTGTAATGTTAATGACATTACATTGTTTATGAAGATCACACTGTCACTGTGTTCTTAAAAGATCAACTACACTCCTCCTTGTATTTTAAATTCCCTCCACCTCTTTCTGGGGAGCTGGTGGGCAATTATACTGAACTCATAGGCATGGTAGAGAAGGAATTTATCCAGACCAGAGTGTTTATAGAGCAGGTTCTTGCTTAGTCTGCAGCAGGGTTTTTTTTGCACTTGTCCTAGAGAGCAACAGGTTGTTTTGGGATTCATAGCAGCTGTTCTGTATTTTATTTATTTAAAGGAATTTCTAGTAGTAAAAATGATTGTGATCTCCTAGCCAGTGATTAAAGATGCTTTCAAAACCTGAAGATCGGAGACTTAAGGTCGAACTTGGAAACCAATGGTCCTATAGATTAGAAATTGACCCAGTTTTCTGATCATGTGCAGTACATAGATGTACTATAGATGTGTCTCTGTGTTGAGTCTGGATTTATCCCGGTGTTCTGCTAGACACCCTTTCCTCTGTGGTCCTGCAGTAGACTGGCGTGTCATCCAGGATGAGAGCCGTCATGTGATTTCCATCCCCGCTTGAACCCTCGATGTTCATCTTTTACTGGCACTCAAGTTCAGTCTTATTTCGAGACTATACCAAAAACATCTTCTGAGTCACTTGAAACGTGCATTTTAAATTTCAAGTATGGCATTAAGAGTGAAAGTGGTATAAATAATAAAAACCATGCTTACACTATAGAGCATCTTCATGTGAGGTTTGATATGGTGTTCCAACATGACAGCTTTCAAAGTGTTGTGTTTCAGTGCAAAATTTACTCCACTTTCCATTTTAAAATCACAAAACTATAATTAAATAAAAAAACTTTTAAAAATGTTGGCTTTTCCCCCCACACTAATTTAGTCTGTTATCATACCTGTATATTTACTATCAGCATATTAAGAGCAAAATCTGTTCTGGAAGAATAAGCTTTGACTTTTACTGTCATATTTCAGCTTTAGTGTATTGCTGCTGTCGGGGTGCTAAGATGACAGTGTCCTTCATGCTTTATGTATTCAATACGTTTATTTCATGAATCTTTGATATGAAGTAGGCATATACCCCAGATAAAAAGGTAATGAATTCACTCACTTGTGGTTTTCACTGGCCATTATCCTAGGGTTGTGTTAAGAGGAACTGCTGACTTCTTTTGATATTATCAATCAGATTTGCCCAAAACTACCAAAAACACTTAAATACCGATTAGAGGCAGTGATCTGGCTCTGAGTCTGCTGTCTTTGTCACTTCCTTTGTGCTCTGTTTCAAGAGCCTAAGGTGTGCCGGAAGAATTAAAATGAAATGCCACCATGTGCAAAATAACCAAGTAACTGCATTTTTCTTCTGGTATTTTTTAACTGTTTTCATTTGATTTTGTTTGAAGGGGAAGGCACTAAGCATGTATCGTTTTCTCTAGATGGCAATATATCAGTTAATATTTCTTATACCATTGTGTATGAGACATCACACACTTTGAATGCTTTCTAATTGTGCACAGATGAAACAAATACAAAGTTGCTAACTCTTTAGCTGCTACCTGCTCCACCATGCTGCAAAATGGAGCGAGGAACCAGTCTTTACTGATTGTCAAGCCATTTGAATGATTACCTGCTGTTCTGTGGCAGAGCTCCAAAATGAGCTCTGGCTGATGTGCAGGTGGCGACAGTAGTAACTGCACTTTGAAGAAACCTCACTCACCTGTTTGTTACTCCTACGTTTGTACTTATTTTATGAAAAATCTGTTGCACTTAAATTAATAGAATAGTAGTACCACAAACTGTTCGTTAAAAATACTTTTATATATACTTGATGTTTTGTATCTTACTAAGCTTGTCAATAATGCCTTAAGAACAGCTATGTGATTTTAGAATGACAGGCACAAGTGACTTTTGTTGAAATGTTTAGGTATATTGAAAGAGGTCAACGGATTTCATATTTAAGCAATGACTCATGTGTGACAGTTTTATTATTTTATACTACGGTGGTAGCATCTTATGCATAAGAATAGTTGGTCTTTTTGTGGTGGGAAGAGCAACTGGCAAATTTGGATTGGGGGGGGGACATCATTGATTTGTTTCCATAAGACAAAACAACCCAGGATTATACAATCCTGTATTATCAAGTTGGAGCGAAATGTGCTACTATTTTTCTTTGGAACTAGTCCATTGTCTTTTTCATTTCTGAAAGGGACACACGTAGGAAACTATCCCTCCTTCTTTGTTAACGGTAGCATTGTTGGCTTACTTGGATCTAACATCTATTGAAAGGTTAATGGTGAGTTGGGAGGATTAGTGGGATTTAGATAAAAAAACGTGAGCAGTATTTTGTGTTTAAGCTGGAACCAGAGTGGAGGTGATAGGAAGAAAACCTCAGTATAGTCAGGATTCCCTGGATTACTCTTTTCCTTTGCTCTTTTGTGAAGCCAGTGCTGAGTGTACCAATAGCCCTTGCACACCAGCTACTTTGATGGTGTAGAAAAGGTGCCTGATTTCAGTTACTGTATGTTTGCTCAGCAGTGGTAGGAGAATGAGCTGAGAGCGAGAGGTTAAAGTAAGTCCTAAGCAAGTAAACGTGATTTAATTTTAAAGTTTACAAACAAAACCTCAAATATCTGACTAAAAACTCTGAGGAAAGGCCAGTTTAACTTGTCCTGAATTCTTTACCATAAATTGAATTTTTTTTTTTTAAGCACAAAGATGTGGCGTTTTCTTTTCAGTGTTCATTTCTTTTCAAGTCAGAATTAGCACAGAGTCTGCATTTTTGCTCATAAATTTTAAGTGGTAGTTAGGGAAAGATGGAACACGTGGTGTACCTGCAATTCGGAAAAATAATTTGCCCCTGTCAGCCATGGTAGCGCACTCACCACCAGTGTAAGCATCCTAACAATGTTTAATCTCATGGAAACAAAAAAATGATGTGCATACTTATGATATATTGATATGAGATTGTCAGAAATTTAAAAAAGGGTGTGATAGGGCAGCTAATGGTTGATGATGTGAGAGCAAGTTGGGGGAGATAAAGATAGTTATAAGTTAATCATATGTATTATCAAGATACAGTATATGTGCTTCTGGCACTATGTGACACCGCTTTTAAATGTTTGTGATAAAAACAGATTTTTTTAATACATAAAAACTGCAAAAAATTATGCAATTCTGTCTGTAATATTGAATCCTCAAGTATAATCCAGGATGTATAAACTTGTACAGTGAGTTTTAATATCTAATGGCCGTACCAATATGTATTAATTCTTATCAGAAGCCTTAGAATTGTCAACCCAAGTGCTCCCTTTTCTTAGAATTACCCTACACCTACCTGAATTTTGAAAGCATTAATAACTATATTTTGTTGCGTTTATTTGTACCTGTTTTGAATAAAATAGATTTGTACTGTATATTTGTATCTTTCTGTGAACTACTTGGCTGTTTTTTTTCTTTGCTGTTTAATTCTATGTACTTAACGACACAAAGATATTGTATTTTTATTGTTACAGCTAACTTCTTATGGAAAATTGCATTTATCTTGTTGGTTAAGTAAACACAGTATAATATATATAATATGACCCTGCTGGCTGAGAGTATTTCTTCTTTCCATTTTTCCAATATATTTTTAACCAATGAGCTTCAAAGACAGCAAGGTGGCTGGATAATTGCATTTTAAAGGGTTACAACATGGAAACCACTTGACAGATATAGTCAGCAGACAAAAAAAAGAATACTAATAATATAGGTTGATTATTTTAAGCAACCAAAATATTGTATTGGAAAGATCAGCTGATATTTCTCTGCTGTTAGCTGAACGAGCCTACACTTTAAACATTGAGAAAGCTGAAAGATGAGCATTCTGATATAGCATTCACAATGTTTTTATTATTATTCCAGTTACATAACACTTCAATGCAAGTAATTATTGTCTGTAGTGTTTTATTTCAATGGAACCCAAACCTCATATAGAGGTGGGGCTCCACTTCATCTACCTCTGAAGGGTAACAACCAAACTGGGGGAAATGTAGCAGCCATTATTCCCAAGCATTCCTACTACACAGCACATCAGCAAAATCAAGCACCATTCTGCATTGGTTTTGAAATTTTGGTCACAGTGAGGAATGTCACCTTCTGGTCCTCCAATGCCTCTTGCAGCAGCAACATGCTTTTCCTTAGAGCTCTTCTATCCCATCACTGCCTGGGCCCTGCCTTGCTTAGCTCCTGCAATCTGATAAGAGCGCAAGGTTGTGAAACTGCTAATTTTTACTGCGGTAAATAAACTTCGCATCAGTAAAAGAATAAGGGAGAGTGAGGGGTACAGTATGGGTCACTTCAGAATAATCGAACGATAATTACATCCTCTTTAACCATACTCTCATTGTGTAGTACGCCGTGTCTGGTGATCAGGATTTCTTTATACCACGTCATACGAAACTAATCTTGCTTTATAAGCTTTTTCGGAACATATAGGGATTTCACATATTCATCAAATGTTTTAACTAATTGATCATTCATGTCGGAAATAACCAAGTCACTTCGTTGCATATGCACTATATCACCTGTTTAGTAAAGGGGTTGATGGGACACAGGTAATGAGATGACTTCACCTTTTGAATGTCAGCCCTTCCAAAATTCAAGAAAAAAAATTAGATCTCCCACTTATGAAGAGAACATTGTGCCACTGGTGTGTTAGAGCAATAACTTAGGAGGAATCACCGGCGCTGGATCCAAGTCCCCCTTTAGCAACGCAAAGGTTTTTGTGTAAAACAAATTGATCGTTGATCCTCCTAAAGTGGTAACGTTCCCATACACTAACACACATCCTCATGCTGCTTTCCTTCTAAATGACAAGGTAACAGTAATGGCACGGATGCTTTACTTGACAAAGACAGGCCCGAATCCCATTTAACAGTTGTGGGACAAACTGAAACAAAGGCATCTAAGGCATAGAGCAGTGAACGGGTATATGCTTGTTCAGGCTGAAGAATGGGACAGAAGCCCAACGAGACAGCATTTACAACCCAGCTCAAGGCATGCACTGCAGGTGTACAGCTTGTATTGCTGCTGGGGATGGTCACACGCACTCCTTGCCTGCAAATTTTACAGCAGACTTCCAATTGGTCAATTCAGACTGTTCTTGAGAGCAAAAGGAAGGATTGACAAGTCACATAAGAAAACCTTTCACGACAATCATAAAAGAAACTCAGAAAGTGTTAGTTTATTTTGACATTCTATACCTCCTTATATTTGTACATATCTGTTAATCCAGCAACAGAGAATGGTTTCCAGATTGACCATTCACAACACAACACACAACATGACTATCATAAATACAGAGTGTTCCTTTTTTTTCCCCATACTTTTTGGCCTTTTTAGTTACTTTTGTAAACATGAACAGAGTGTATCCTGATAAATTAACAAAAGGCCAAGAGATTTAACAGCATAATGTAGGATCCCTATTCTTTGACAAAACAAAAACGGGCAGGCATATCATTACTTGTAGCTGAACACTTTTTCATATATAACAAATCTAAAACAAATGCAGTTACGACATGCAGTGTTAACCTAAACCAGTCTGTAAAGCCAGGACAAGCCTTTTTTACAAAGCCATTTGTACAGGGCTTATGCCAAATGGGCGGTATCATAATTTTCAATAAAATGGAAGGTTCACATGATAAGTTAAGCACTTGATTTCCATTGGGTTAATAGGAAAACATATTTGATTTAAAATCAGCACCCTCGTCAGAGAACAGTAAATGCCCACATTTTAGTAAACATTCAACCCTTTGTTGGCTCCACAATAAGATCTTGTGCACAGGGTCAGTGTCTTTAGTTAAACGTTTCCTGCAAGTGTATAAAGCTTAACACACAAAAGTCTTGGTTCAGTTAAAGTTTCAAGCCAGAGATGTGCAGAAACAAATGGTGGTTTTGTTAAAATACTGAATATTGGATTTCATATAGGTAGTAATGAAGCCACTTCTACAAAATGTATCTTCACACATCTACCCTCTAAAACAAATCTTTGACAAGAGTGCCAAACTATGAGCTCAAAGCTATTAAGATGCACTGCCTGAGTTGCATGAATAGGTACATGTCCATTTCACCTTACAATCTGCATAGATATGGAAAACATCCATTTTCCTTCTGTAGGAATTAATACTCCTATTGCATAGCAGTTTGAACCACTCCAGGTGCCAGGTTTAAGAAAAAATAAAACAGTGACTAGCTACAAAACTTTTTCTGAGCTCAACATACTACTTGGAATGGCTCAAACAGAACACCAGTCTCAATTCCCCATCTTAATTAAGAGTTACAGTATAAAAAAATGAATTCCATGTTTTAGTGAAATGGCTTACTCAATATACCTCCTATTTAAGGATATCTGCAGAAGTTCTCGTCACTTCAAACTCAGATTTAACAGAGTAAGGTCCTGTAAATTCAGAATTCACTTGTATCAGCACATTAATTAATGCTCAGTTGAAACCCTCTTACATGTCACCCACATGTAAAATCTTACATGAAAAAGAAAAGCAGTGGAAAATGCAAAACTAAGCAAAATCCCCACATCTTTCTCCAGTGAAAAAGGCTACTCAATCATGCGTTTATAAATAACTGCGCTGGGAAAACCTCTTGAATAAATATGTTAAAAATTAATCTATTAATTCTAGGCTGACTGCTAGCAACAACTATTAGCACTTTCAGTTTATGTGACAGATCCTGCTGTCTCTGAGTGCAAGAAAGAGACAGATTATACAGTAACAACAGAAAAAGAAGCTGAATTTAACGGAGGCTCTTCGTGAAGTACCAGCAGACACCCCAGCTGAAAATCCTGTTAACCCTGTGAACCACTCTGTAGAAGTAATTGCAGCAACTTCAAAAGTGGATAGACCATCCACTAGACACATACACTATAGACGTATGATAGATACACGATGATAATATACACTTACAAATATTTCAAAGGGGGAACTTTCTCGTGGAAAGGATATGGAAATAAATCTTAAAATCCAGCCCTAATCTTGTCACTCTGTGACAAATTCCTTGGGAGTACTCAATCCCAATCTCATGGGTCACATGAATTCCCTTTACCTTTTTGTACATTATTAAGGAAACGATATTGCATGCCGCTTATTTATAATAATCACACGCAAAGGAGCACGATGAGGTCCACCAACATTGGCATTTTTGATAAATAAAAATCGTATGAGCTTCATTCTTTTTGCAAATGTAAATTAAAAACAGCACATAAATAAAGTATTTCAAGTGGTTCACACGGTCAGAAGAATTCAACAATGGCCGAGTCCATCCTCAGTCTAGAAAATTAACTTGCTGTCGGTTCTGTAGTGTGCAGGAATAGCTTACGTTTTTTGTGTAACTGGAAATGTGCTATAAACTAGACATTCAAAACATATTCCTCTTTTTTACAGTACTGATGTTTACTAGGTATATTTGTGTGTGTATATATATATATCTTTTCAATAACTGATACTATAAAATAAAGGAAATAAAAGAAAGGATCCCCTCCACATTAAATTCTAGGTTTGGGTTCTGCTGTCAGTATGGGTGTGGACTAGGAGGAAGAAAGTCTGAAAAAGTACTTTGTAGATTCAGAACGCATGTGTATGCCAGTACAGCTGAGCGATCTGTGCATGTACTGGCACGCTTACTCTTATCAGCACAACCATTTGAGTCCAGATGCAGGCCACTATACAGCGAGTACTGTCAGGTCCCATCGCGAGGTAGAAGATTCAGTGGATACAAACGGTAGCCATTGACCCACATGGGCAGCGTGACGACTAGCTGCCAGTCAGCTCCAGCCACCGGCTGGCAAATCCACCCAGCGTCGCCGGGTGTCGCCGAACCAACAATTTCCTGGACTGTGAGTGTTTCAAGTTCAATACTTGGTAAATTAATTCTCCTCTCACTTCTTCCTACGGCAAGGAAACAATCTTTTTCACGTCAGGTGTTGCTTCTGCAGCACCCTGTCAGTACTCAGGTTCTCCCGCCTATCAGCCGTGATACGTGTTCTCGTGGCTTTTAGAAACGATCACATTAACCACCATGGTGTCACCATATCATGGCCAATGTAACCGTTGCAGTCCATTACCATAGGTCACCCAAATAGTCTGGGGTGGGGGGGGCAAATGGCCGATTCCAGGGCTCCAGAATCCAAACCCAGTCAAGAATGGTTCTTTGCACATGAGCTCCTGCAAAAGAGGTGGACACTTGCACCAGTGACACTACTGGTCTGGCAAAACATCTTGAGTTAGAGCGGTTTCTGCATGTTTGGGATCAACAGCTGTGCCATGGGAAGAAGAGGGCTTCAGCCCCTCTGCGCCCAGCCTGTTAGGGCAGCTTCATGAAGAGGCTGTTGTCCAGTGCAGGGCAGGGCATGGGGAACTGGAACAGGCTCATGTCGGCAGTGAGGGCTGCCATGGCAGCAGGGTCGTGCTCGATCTGGGTCCGCAGGGAGGGGTCGATCTTCTCCAGCCGGCGCTTGAGCCTCTTGGCCTCCCGCTCGCGGATCAGCCGCGCCTGCCTCTTCTCGGGCGTCTCGTTGGCCCGCTTCAGGCGCATGGCCTCCCGGTCCCGCTGGAGTCGGCGCGCCCTCTGCTCCTCCGTCTCCTGCATCCGCTGCAGCCTCTTGGCCTCGCGGTCCCGCAGTCGCCTCAGCTCGCGCTCCTCCGGCGTCTCGCAGGCCCGCTTGGTCTTCTTGGCCGTGCGCTCGCGCTCCAGCCGCTGGAGCCTGGCCTCCAGGGGCTCGTTCTGCCGGCGGACGGCCCACTTCCTCATGGAGGAGGACTGGGACTCCACCAGCTGCTGGTAGGCCACGCAGCTGTTGCAGACCAGCAGCACGCCGGCGGGGTAGACGGGCATGGGGCTGAGGATGTCTGGGAGCGGGGGGAGGGCAGTGCCCGGGGAGTTGAGCCCGTCGGGGAGCGGGGGCAGAGAGGAAGGCGAAGACATGAGGCTGTCTGAGAGGGAGGGGAGCGAAGAGGCAGGGCTGCTGCTGGGGTTTGAAACGATGGTGTTGGCGAGAGCGTGAACCATGGAGGAGCTCTGCTCGCTGTTGCTGTTCTCCATGTGGCTGGTGTTCAGGAGCTCTCGCACCTTCTCCCTGTAGCCAAAAGACAAAGCAGAAGCCAGGGTTAATCAGTAACAAACAGCCACCGTCGGCCCTGCTAATGCTGAAGAACACTGCTAGCTCACATGGAAGCTTCCTAATAATATTGTCTGACCTTTGATCTGCTATCCTTAAAACAAATGACTTCCTGGCTTGGCTCTTCTGACAGTGTCAGCACAACATAAGCCCCTAGGTAAAACACAAGACATGTATTTCTGGGGTGTCGTTTCCTTAAAGGGGACCATCAACAGCTAAGCTGAAAAAGAGAGGGGCGAGGAGGCAGGGGGGCGGTAGGCACACCTGTTGAAGTTGCTGGTGTCAGTGAAGCGGGATCCGCAGACAGCGCAGTTAGACAGCCGGTCCTCCGAGTGGATGAGGAGATGCCGCCCCAGCGAGCCCGGTGAGCTCAGGGCACGCCCACACACGGGGCACACGTAACTCTTGGTGCTGGTGACCATGGCCGTGTGCTGCCAGTCCACAGACAGAGACGCACCAGGTTAACCACACGAACAACTCACACAAAAATAACCCCATAAATCAACATAATAAAAGGTTACGCCAAGAGCAGTTTTTAAGATACATTCTTATCTGCACAGATTGTGCACAACAGTTCATAAGTAATGTGCTGATGTGGGAAAATGGTGTGGCAAGTCCTGAAACTACTCAATAATTACATAATAGGTCTTGTATGGTTACAATCTTGAAATAGTTTACAGTGTGTCAATAGTGTCCTTTTAGGTTTCCAAAGATTACAATCAAGCAGCATTATAGCCCTGTCAGTCCCCTTAATTATCAATAGTCTAGACTGCTTACCTACATTAATGTCAAGTAACCCAGGATTAGTGATAATTAGGTCTCTGAACCGCTGCTTAATGTGTGCTAATTTATTCTACTCCTAGTAAGAGAAATGAATTGGAGAAATAATGTTACGTTTGCAGATTACTCCGATCAGGGTTTCTTGGCAATTTAGTAACACAGGATTACCGTAAAGTACAGGGGGTCCCCAATACACTTCAGGATTAGAGAAAGTTTGAGAACAGAAAGTTGTGACTTACTTATAACGAAACCGATACAGAACATTTTTATAAAACTATAAAAGTGTCAATTTTGCCCCAACAGTAGAGTACATTACCGTACATGTACACGTAACATTTTTCCTTCAATTCATCACTTTTGACTTGCCAATCATTTTAAGCGACTGGTGGAGTCCCAGTCCTCCTCCATGAGGAAGTGGGCCGTCCGCCGGCAGAACGAGCCCCTGGAGGCGAGGCTCCAGTGGCTGGAGCGCGAGCGCACAGCCAAGAAGACCAAGCGGGCCTGCGAGACGCCGGAGGAGCGCGAGCTGAGGCGAGTGCGGGACCGCGAGGCCAAGAGGCTGCAGCGAATGCAGGAGGCGGAGGAGCAGAGGGCGCGCCGACTCCAGCGGAGACCGGGAGGCCAAATTCTAGAGTGGTAAAAGCGCTCGCCAAATTGCAGTCCGGACTCTATAAACCAGGAGTCACAGGTTCGAGTATGGGTCAGATGGGTCAGGTCACTAGCTGACTGTGAGCAGGATTCCTCGAGCAGGGTCAAGTCACTAGCTGACTGTGAGCAGGATTCCTCGAGCAGGGTCAGGTCA